TGTGTGTGTGTGTGTGTGTGTGTGTGTGTGTGTGTGTGTGTGTGTGTGTGAAAAACTTGCAGCTGCAGAAAATAAATGAAATAAATGAATGCTCCGGATATGAAGCATGTCTCTTTTCTAAAGCATCCCTAAGGGTGGAGTTTAGACAAAGATGGTCTGTGTTTGTCAGATAATTTACTCTAAGAAGAGATATAAATCCCCACACTGAGACACAACATAAAGCAACAACAAAAACTAACAAATGTGCATGTCCTCTGTCGTTCAGTTTTACTCTACATTTGTGTTGTGACCAAACACCTGTGTTGTGTTTCCTTTCAGTTCGTTCATGACACGCCTGGCTGGCCTTATTTAAACCATATGTTGGTAAAACGTGACCTCATCTTCTTGAGTTTGTATTTTAGTCCAGTGGCTGCTACATAAAAAAAAACACTTCCTGTGTGCAAATAAACAGCTAMATTTAGATACCATTACAAGGACTTAGTATCAAAGATTTGACCTTSGCTGTAGAAATATAAGTTTGTTAACTGGTTTGTTGTGGATGTGTCAGTGGTTACTGTTTGCTCTGGGTAGGACATGAAATTATTGCTGCTTGTTATCTGTGTCACAACGTTACAAATCTGCTTCATCTTGTTGCTGTCAGATAAAACCATGGTCTCCATGTTTTCTTGTTGAAATCAACTCTGTTGGTCACCCTCCATGTCTGTCTGTGGTTCTGTGGTCGACTGTTTAATGGGAACTTTGTTTAACTCCATTAGTATCAGTCGAGCTCGTCTGTAGTCCTTCTTCAGAGTTGTTTTGAACAAGAACAGCTTTTTTCTTCTCACAAGAACCAATACATGCTGAGTCTGAAGTAACCCAGCATGAAGACACACTGATCACCACGGTGGGATGGGACGTTCTCTCCATCTTGTCCATGTTTTGAAGCCAAATGAACTGCTGAGTCAGCTGGTTGGTTTGACTCGGTCCATCCACCAGGCTGATGAGAGCTGTTATTTTGTTTGTTGCATTGTTCTGTGGAGTAACATTTCATTTGTTAGTGTGTGAGTGTTACCTCTGGCTTCATGACATCCTGAGTCAGAAAGAATCRTAGCTTTAGGCTGGAAATGTTGSTAAAACCTAGCAAAAWGCTGRGTCATATGAAGAAAAAATACAGTTGTGATGAATCTGGATCTTCATGAAGGATGACCAGAACTCTGTTCTTCATTTATAWGTTTTACTGTGAAGAGCAGCTGACCTGTGTCCAGAACATGATTTGTATACTGGTTAAAGGACTTTGACACCATCAGCTGGACACTGAGAGCAGCAGACAGTTTTTGTCACGGGGCATCTTAAGGGGGAGCGCTGAGCTCGAGGTGCTAGATGCATGCCTGCCTTCTGTGACGTGAAAGCTGACTACAGTTGGAAAAAAAGATCGCCCTGAATGAGACACTTAATTTGTCTTAAAATACAGACATTCTGACAAATAAGTAACTGTTTGTAACCTTACCTCAGCTTAAAGGCAGAGGGTGTCGGTCTTTTCTGCTCAGATATCGGAGCATGAAGCTAATGTTTACTCACAATGCTAATGCTCTCTTACTCTCTGGTGCTCAAGAGGTAGAGG